GAGATGGCCACCTTGGCACTTCCCACGCCAGCTACAGCCAACTGAAAGTCCTCAGAGAAAAGACTTCATCAAAAACAGAGGAAAGAAGTCCAGAAAAACATCCAGCGAGCAAGTCTGTGGAAATTTCTGGAAACCTCAAGATAGAAAACCTTCCGATTCTGGAGAAAACATTGAAAGCAAAGGCTGCAGCAGCTCCAACAACGAGGCTGCACGCGCTCTCCAACCACCTTGCGTGTTGTCGGCCCAGGAGTTCAGATAACCAAGGGATTTGGCATCGGGTCAATTCAGAAAGAGCTAGAGCCATGCACAGCTCTGAGCTTTAACTGGGGGAGGAAAAAAAAGCCCCCAGACAAGGCAGACACCTTGCAGGCCTGCCGATGCGAGTTCAGCCCTTGGGAGCAGGAAGAGGACAGCGCTGCGCTGTTATCACGCTGGAAAACCATTGCTGGTCTCTCTGAAATAGCACTTAGAGAGACAGCCCAACAAAATGGGAGAACTCTTGGGGCAGCAGAGGAAAACCCTTCAGCCTGAGGTGGTGTTTAGGGATGTATGGCAAGGAACTGCTTTTCTTAGCCATGAAAAGATCCAAGTACAGAAAGCTTTACTGCGTGATACCTCCAAGACCCTACCAAGTTAGGGGATGGAGGGACACAACTTCCAGAGCCCAGAACATATTTCTTAAGTGGTATGGGTTTGTCCAGCTGCATAAATACGTGAACAAGGTGGTCAAAGTATTGCTAAACACCAGAACAGGCTAATCAAGGGATAACACAAGAGGGGATCACCCCCAGGAAACGGAGTAAGGAAGAAGAAACGTGCAGATGGGTGAGAGAACAATAAAAGGGGCAGGATGGCTCCCAGTGCATCTTAGAGGAAAAAATAAAGTCAACCCTCCATGGGTGACACAGAAGAATTAGTGGAATTAGCATTTAACGGGTTGCAATGGCAGACCTCATCTTCTTACGAGATATTTTCCTGCTCAACTACCACAAATGACAGGAATAAAGAGCAAACAGCTCGCCAGCCTTGGAAATAAGAGCATCAGAGAGCTGTTTTGCTCCTTTTCAGGCTGCAAGGTGTGACTCTGGGTCACCGTGGTGCGAGACACTCCCCTGCAGCACCCAGAGCCATTATTAACCGATCCCGGTTAGTCCATTTTTTTCATTATTATCATTATTATTATTTATTTCAGGCGCGAGGAAAGCCGTCCCCCCAGCAGCAGGCGGAAAGCTGGACAGGGCCAGGCTGAGCGGAGGGCAGGCGGCAGCTCTCAGCAGGCTCCTGGAAGGGAGGGATCTTCCTCTCTCCAGCAAGGAGAGCAGGATGGGCGGCTTCCAGTTGCAGCAACCAATTAGGCAGAAACTGCTATCAAAGCACCAGGGAGGGCCCTACCCTAACGGGGTTGGGAAACAGGAGGCAGCACGGGCCCAGCCGCCACGCCGGGTCCCTCAGCTCCTTCCCTCTCGCCCAGGTTGCCCGGGGTGCCTCTTTTCCAGCCTGCTGGAGGCTCTTCCTACAGATAGATCAGCCCGGACATCACGCCCGGTCCTTCCAGACCCATTATTTAAGGTCCCCTGGTACTAACGAGGGATGCATCAGGTTCAGGTGCCAGGAGACCTGAACCCCTACCGCCCCGCTGGGCTTCTGGAGGGTAACACGGCACAAAACCAGAGTGAATCTCCCAAGAAAAAGAAACATCTCAACAAAAGGCAAGCTTGGCACCGGCGTAACATTCTTGCGAAGAGCCCAAAGTGAGTTATGACAAGATTGGCCTTTAGATTTTGCAACCAAGATTGCGTGCAGCACGAGAGCGAGCTAAAAAGCAAACAGAAGCGCCTTCCTCACCCCTCTCCGTTAACAAATCCTGCACAACCTTTTACAAAGCCGTGGCGCACACACACACACAGAGCAAAAAGCTCCCCGCAGCAAGCATCAGCCCTGACATTGTTTACTGCAGACCAACAACGTAATTCGCTACAGTTACAACAAGCACCCTTGTCTGCCAGGGCTTGGTGTTGCTTAAAAACACTTTCCAGAGGAGGGGAAAAAAAAATAATAATAATAAATCAATTCCACAGTCATTAGGCGAAAATCCTCAAACTGCAAACTTTGGGCTTCTATTTTTACACCGATATTTTTGGTCGTGTGTTGCATGACTACCCTTTATTTCTCAGGATTATTTTTGTCCCCCTCGGGAAGCACAAGGAGGTGAGGAACAAAAGGAAGCCTTGAGCCCGCGCCTCTTCTCTCTGCGAGCAGGTAGGGAACATCAGCACGGGGAGAACTGGAAGCCCTCGGCTCGGATACTCATCACCTGGTGTTGGAGTTGAAGGATTGAGGTGGAATTGAAACCTTTAGATGGTGAGGTCACAGCTTGGACCTCACAGCCGTGATCTTTGTTCCCCCGTGTGCTTCCCACAGCGTTCCCTATCCCAGAGGGGCGATAAAATCCTCGTGGCAGAGCCGTGAGAAGTCATCCTGCCCAGCAGCCAGGGGAGCAGCAGCTGTGGAGAACCTCCTTTCACCCAAGGCTGGGGCTCTCTTATCAACTTGGGAGCACAAAGTCTAACAAATTACGCAGGGAGCGAGATGAAAAGCCCGGCGCACCAGAGCAATCACCCTGCCATTGTCCTCCTCCTCCTCGGGATCCAGAGAGCCACGACTTCTCCCAACCCTTCCAGCCCATCACTCGAGTCCCTCCTTCCTTCCTGGATAACTCTTGCTGGGCCCAGCCAGCCGCAGCAGGGCCAGAGTGACTTCATCGTTTCGTTTCACCACCACTCCGGGCTTCCAAATTAAAACAACAAGGCGGGCACCGAGCGGGTCGGGCTGGGCTCCCCGGGGGCTTGGAGAAGGCCTGCACCACCACCCGGGGACTGGAGGTGTCTGCGAGGCTGGGGAAACAAAGCTCCGTCCATTTTCACCTGCTTCACAGGGAACCTTTTGTCCCGGCCTTCAGTCAAAAGGGCTCAAAATGTCACAAAGTATCAGTCTGAAAACCTACAGCAAGAGGAAGGAGCCCAGCAAACTCCCCGTTCACCACCTAATTGATTTATTTTTTTTTTATTTTTTCCCCAAGCGCTCAACACCCGGTGGTAATAGATGGCTTGCCACATCACGCCATAAGGGGCTCCTAAAACTCACGGGACCCAGAAAAATACTCGCCCTTTCTGGCAACCTGCTGCTGCCCTCTCACAAAGGGGAAAATAAAAAGTTTCAACTTCCTGGACCGTCTTCCACGGGTGGATTCATTGAAAAAAAAAAAAAAAAAAAAAAAATCCCAACTGCGTTTCCCACAGAGCCCTCGCCTGTGGTTCTCCTGCTTTGTTCTGACATTTTTTTCCAGGCAGCAGAAGGACCGGGAGCACATGACTAGAGCGACTGGGGGGGTTATCGCAAGTGCGTGCGCTTTATGCTCCGGCCTTTGTTTCTCCCTCCGTGGTATACGCTGGGGATTGAATCATATTTGCAAACTTGTTAGTCTGCATCAGTTAGCACTCTCTTCGCAGGCAAGCATCTGTCTGGGCTCTGACCTCGAATAAACGGGAAAGGAGCATCAGTGACCTTTCAAGAACCAAGCTGCGGAGAGCTTGAATCAGACAAATTTAGTTGCCGGGCATGACAGGGCTAGGTCTCGCTTGGATTAGGCGGCCACCTGCAGAAAGCCCGGCCAACAAAACCCGCTCCTCGTTCCGCACGCACATCAAGTGGATCGATACATTAAAATGGAGTCGCCCACGGCTTTTCCCCCTCGGAAATCAAGACCCCAAACGCGCGTGAAAAGCTGGATCTGCTAATAATACGGGTTAACTGCACTCCCTGTTTTTTTTTTTTTTAAGTGCTGCAGGCGCCCCGATCATGCGGATCCAAGGCAGGCGACAGCCCCCAGCCAAGCCCGGCGCCCTGTTTGAGGCTTCTCCCGCAGCGGAAGACATTTCGGCGCAGAGAAACCCGTGAGAAATCCCGATCTGTCAAAAAGCCCAGGGGCACGCGGAGCCCCGGCACGAAGCGCCTCGAACAATATCAAGCACCGTGTCAGGTGTGGCTACGGGCAAGCACCGAAGGGATCGACCAAACGGCACCGCACGGCGAGCCCTCCAGCTCCCATCAAGCCCCCCAGCCTCCATTTCCAGCAGAAAAAAAACGGGGAAATATCCCTCGCAAACCAGGCCGGCAGCACCGACGGGCAGCGATCCGGATTCGCATTCAAATGAGGAGCCAAGACGTTTCCTATTATAACCCCGGTGCTCCTCTTTGGCGACTCAGAGCAGGGCCTTTTTCCCCCCTTTCACGCCGCCTGCTTTGCCGAGATGCCATTAATTAAAAAACAGCCCCATCTCCCCCTGGCTGGAGGGGGTTGGGGTGGGGGGATCCAAAGGGTGGGCACCCACCCCACACTCTGCCAACCCCCAGCGTGCCCGTGTGGCATAAAGCCTAGGCCTGGCTCCCAACAATATTCCCCCGAGCAGCCAGCCGGGTAAGGCTGGGAATAACCCCTCGGTATACTCACATGCGGCGGGGAGGATGTTTCTTATTTTTGGCGTTATCGGGTGTTTTTAGCGCTGCCTGAATCGCGAAAGAGGCACCTTTTGTACCCCTCCTCCCCCCCCTTCACCACCACCACCTTTTCTTTTTTTTTTTTTTTTAAAAATGGGTTGGACTAGGAGGTGCTCACACCCGAGATCTCAGGGCGTTGGGAGAGAAGAGGGGAAAAAAAATGGAAAAAGGGAAAATATATAAATATTAATATAGATATATAGGGGGATGGGGAGCAAGGGGGGGCACCTGCCTGCCCGTCATTCATTTCGGGGAAGGGGGGAAAGAGGGGAAAGGAGGGGGGGGGAGGCACAGCCACACAGACAAAACCCCGGCCCTGGGAGCCCGCTTGACAAAGGGAAGGGCTGCCAGCGGGCAGAGGGGCCGAGGCCGGGGGCAGGGCGTCTTTTTTGGGGTCTGCGTGGTGTGTGAGCCCCCCTGCCGGGCTTCCCCCCGATACTCACGGCTGACTTTCATGCTGCCGAAGGCCGAGGGCTGCTGCACCGGCTTGCAGCTCTCCGCGAAGGACGTGGTCCTGGGCCGCCCGGACATGGTCTCGGGCTGCGGCTGCGCCTCTCCCTCCTCCTCCTCCTCCTCCTCCTCCTCCTGCTGCTGCTGCTGCTGCTGCTGCTCTTCCTCCCTCCTCCTCCTCCTCCTCCTCCTCCTCCTCCTCAGGGCCCTCTCCCGTGGCTCAGGGCGAGCCCTGCCTCATCAACGGCGGCCCCTCACGGAGGGGGGGGGGGGGGGGGACCCGATCCCTTCCCCTGTGGTCGCTCTGTCGCTCCGTCTGTGGCTCCGTGCGTCCCCTCACAGCGCCATTTCCCCCCCTTTTTTTCTTTTTTTTTTTTCCTTTCTCCCCGCAGCGCCCCGGCTGCCGGAGCCGCCCCCGCCCGCCCGCCGCGGGGCTGCGCTAGGCCTCGCTGCCCCCACCCTCAGCGCCAGTCACATGGGGCGGAGGCTCGGGGCGGCCTCGGCTGCTCTTCCTTCCTTCCTTTCTCCTCCTGTTTTTTCTCTTTCCTCCCCCTTTTACCCTTATCCTCCCTATTTTGTTTCTCAACCCCCTCCCGTCTCCTCCGCGGGAGCAGCGGGGACTACTTCTCCTCCTCCTCCTCCCCCCCCCCCTCCTCAGGCGGAGGGATCGTCCCGGCGGGGAGGCGGTGCTGCGGCAGCTCGCCCAGGGAATCCAACAGCGGCGGCGGAGGGATCCGCGGCGGGCGGCGCGGTGATGCGGCCGGGCGGCGGGGCCTCTCCCCTGACGGCGGCGCTCAGGCGGTGCCGGTGGCGGCCGGGCGGCTCCTCACGGCCCCCGCGCGGCGACGGGGCCGGCCGGCGGCGGCGGGGCGGGCCATGGCGGCGGAGGCGGCGGCTCGTTGCCCTCAGCGCGCTGCTGCCGCTTACGCCGAGCCTGCGAATTCAGCGCAGCCGCCTATGCGCGCCGCTGCCTTACGCTGCGCAACGGGCGTAGGCGCCGGCTGTGAATAGGCAGCCGAAGGGGCCGACGCGCTCCTCGCAACCCCCCCCTCCCCTCCCCGTCACGGAAACAGCCGAGCGTGCTCGGAGCCAATGGCGAGGCCGCTCCGGGGACGGCTGTGGCGGCTCGGAGCCAATCGGGCGCGGCCGAGCCCGCCCGAAGCCAAGCAGCGGGCCAATGGCGGAGCGGCGCCGCCGCCCTAGCAGCGCGGTCCGGCAGCCAATAGGAGGAGGCCGGCTCTTCCGGGAGGAGCCGAAGGGAGCCGAAGCGGCGCGGCCAATCAGCGGCCGCGGTTACACGGCCCTGCGACGGCCTCGGGCCGCAGCCCCTGGGCGGAGAGCGGCCGCGGGCTCTGATTGGCTGCCGCGGCGGCGTGCTGCCATTGGCTGGGGGCGATGAGGCGGCCCGAAGACGCCAGCCAGCTGTCTGCCGCCGACCAATCCGCGGGCGGCACCGGCGGGCAGCGCCCGCTCCCATTGGGCGAGGTGCGCAGGGGGCGGGGCCTGCCGGGCCACGCTTCGCCGCGGTGGGGCCTCGCGCGCCGCCTCGCTCACCTTTATGACCTCACCGGCTGCGCAGGGCGGGCCGCGCGCATGCGCAGTGCGGCGGGGCGGGCTCGGCGCCGCCCTGAGGCCGGGGCCGTGCCTGGGGGGGGGCACCGGGACCGGGGGCCCCCCTTGGGAGCCGGCGTGGCCGCCACGGCTCCCAGAGAGCGGTGTCCAAACGGCTCCGGGGCCGGTAATGCCTGTTTGAGGCAGCCCTCCTCACGGCCTGTCGCCTCAGGGCGGGGCAGCCCCCGGTGCAACCGTTACAACCGTTACCCGGCCCGTTACAGCCCTTAACAACCGTTAAAACCGTTACCCGGCCGGTTACATCTGTTACAAATGTTACCCAGCCTCATACAGCCATTAACCACCATTACAACCATTGCCCAGCCTGTTACGGCCGTTACAACCGTTAAAACCCGTTACCCACCCCATTACAGCCATTAACAACCGTTACCTGGCCCGTTGCGGCCATTACAACCGTTAAAACCGTTACCCATCCCGTTACAGCCGTTAAAACCGTTGCAGCCGTTAGGGCCCTGAGCTCCTGTTTGCCCCCAGCCCATTCCATGGGGTCCCCCCCTCAGTGACCTCGCGGCCATCAGGGGCTGCTTCTCTGGGAAGCTTCCCCGGGAAGCACAAAGGTGTAATCATTCCCATTAAAAACTCAAGGTTTTGTTCCTTTTAACGTGAAATACAAGATTTTGGACAGATGGCTGCTGTTGGGCGAAGCGGCGTGGCTGTGGAAAGGAACGAGCGCTGCGGCCATCGCCTCGTGAGGAGCAGAGGGTGATAAACCCACTGCAGGAACCGGCCCGAGGGAAGGGGCAAGAGGCACAGGCTCACAAAGTTCTCCCCCTTCAGCTCTCCCTCGCAAATTTTAGGAAACGCGGCTTATATCGGAGCCGCTAGAACGGCCTTCGTACCCAGGTCTTGGTGCCACCACCGGTGGATTTTGCTTGGCCCTGGCTGGCGTCCAGCCCGTCCTTGTGACTTCTGGAAGAGCCCGTACTTCTGCGGGGCTCTGCAATATCCGTGGGGCAGCTCGCCTGGCAGTGCTGCTCCCTGCCCTGACCTCGGTAACGTTACTCAGCAGCCCTCTGCGAACGTTGGGTACGGCTTGCTTAAAGGGAAAAACAAAAAAAAAATGTTCTCGCCAGAGTAGTTCATACCACAGGCAAAGTAACTTGGACCAGCAGCAGCACTTTTTGCCAGCGCTAGAGTCTAAGAGCTGCTGCTTTCTTTTCAAGGCATCAAAATATTGCCTGTTTATCCTTTTTTTTTTTTCTTCTTGTGTCCCATTCCAAGCAACGCTGCTATGTGAGCAATGAAAGACCTGGCCAAAGGCAGCTGAGATTTACCCTGTACAACAGCTTTGTTCCGAAGCAGAAAACCAGCTCAGTCTCTCCAAACGGTCCTGTTCGGCACCACAGCGCTCACCCCGGGGCGCTTGATCTTCTGGAAACCTTTTCCCTGCCTGATAAATGATGAATGATTTCACCTACTACAAAGGACTTTGCATTGTTTAAGGTCTGACTCACTGTGCAGCTGGGAAACTGGAAGCTGAGTGCTGCGCCCTCACAGGGGCTGAACAGCCTGAAGTGACAGTAACCACGCTGCACTCGTCATGTTGGATCTGCTCTGATTCACCGCTTTATCAAATGTCCCTGAGATACAAACTCAATAAACCACCAACCACCAGAAGGACCAGAAGTTTTTGCCTCTTTTGGTAAAACAACTTTCCTCCACCTGAAATGCACCACCAGGCATTCCAGTCGTCTTGTAGAGTTGCGCTTGAAATTGGATTTATTTATTGGCCTCGAGCATTTGATGCCAACACAAATCAAATTTTCTAATTTTCTGATGAAGTTCTTTCTAATAGCTACGTAAACGCTGGCACCGACTATAAGAGAGATGCTTGAGCATTATTACATGACAAAGTGCGTGGATGGTCTGAAAAATAGCATGGGTAGGGGGAACTCTGTGATAGCAGTAAATACGAATCACACCGATGCGAAATTTATCCTAACGGTATCTATTTGAGAAACGTCCTTTATGATGAGTCTGCAAGTTGATAATGCCAATGGAGAACCAACTGCATTTCTGTACAGAGAACAAGGCTAATTCGGGAGAACAGCCTCACGCTTACGCTCCTTTGTGAGGCTTAGCCTTTTGCTGTTGACCCCCAGTTCCCTCACCAGTACCCAAACAACCCGTATCAACCCCAAAACTCCCAGATACTGGCACCCCTGCTGTTCTAAATGCCAGTCCTATCCATCCACTTGGGGAATGCACGCTACAGACCTCCCAGCTGCTCTGCTTCCCATCGGGCAATCCTGCCTGTATTTCCAAGTAATCATTAACCAATGAACTCTCCAAAACCTGTCCGTTTCAATCACAGAGTCTTCTCCGCTACTAGAAAACCACACAAGTATACTTAAAGGAGGGCTATTATTCGTTTGAAGGGACAGAAAGCTATTAACCACCTCCAATTTCTGTTAGTCTTTTCGCAGATTATTTCCCCAGCTAGGGCTACCGTCAGAAAACCCATTAGCATGTAAGAAGGGCATCTGTTAAGCTTTCATCCTCAATGTCAAAAATGCACCAAATTAAACCCATTTGAGGAAATCATGAGTGAGCTGGTTGCTTTTTTAGACTGAAAAATTCTCTTTTGACAACATTGCAAAGTTCGCGGTTATTTTTGGCCTCTTGGCTGAAGAAATGACCTCCCTTTAGACTCCGCAAATATAAATAGAATTGACACTTTAATGATCAGTTTTCACAGGCAAGAATAATCCAGTATCCCAGGCATTAATATTGTTCCAAATCTGGATGCAGAGGATGGTTTTACAGCTTTTGTGACTCAAAATTAAAGCGTCCCCGTCACATCTAAGATCTTGGGGAGGGTGCCTGAAAATAAGAAGCATCTGAGGGGAATTACTGAAGTGTTATCTCTCTGAAATGCCATAAGGTGGCAGTGAATTAGAAAATCGGTGCTATTTCTGGGTAGAACAAAGCTTTTAAAAGCTCGGTAGCGGTGGTGGGGAGGCTTTATTTTTTTTTGTTTGTTTGTCTGGGGGCTCGCATTTGTCTGCTTTCATTTCAGGTATCACCCTGAACATCACATCCAATCGTCTTAATACACTGAGCAGGGCTGCTCCAACGTGCACAAGCAGTAAGTAGACGTGCACTCCTGCACAGGGAGCTCCTGGTTTTCTTTCTCCTTTGCTTGCTCTCTGGGCAATCAGCAGGAAGATTTTCTGTTGCCTTTTTGTTTGCTTACCTTGCAGCTATTACTGGGTCATTCCAACATCAGCCACGGTGAAGAGGGCAGGAGGGTGGTGTATTGTGCCTCAGTAAGGCTGATAAGGATGATCGTGCAAGGCTGCTGTGAACTTTGGTACGCCAGTGCATCACACTCAGATTAATGGATCTACCAGTTTGGCATCTAATTCCTTAATATTGCCAAGGGAATTAGCCAAGAAACAACGCAGCGAGGTACTGTAACGGCTTGTCTCGTGCGTAGTTGGCATGGGCAGGCTCAATGGCTGTGGTTGAACTTTAACTTTTCCTTTTTTTTTTTTTTTTTTCCAGTGGAAAATCAGAGATTGTAACAGTAACAAATTTACCGACTGCTCAGGCGTTAATGATTAGACAATAAATCCTGAAAAGTGGTTTTGATTTTTGTCCCAGAACAAAATCCACACCAATCTATGTTTAGAACACAGCACTTGCGTTTGTTTTTTCTGAGCGGGACAGAGGTTTTTAATCCTGAGAACCCAGCATTTTGCAACGATTTCCTGTCACAGAACATGTCACCACCAGCAATTGCTTCAGAGAACAGCTGATGTTTTGCCCATCTGGGTGTGCGTGGGCGCACCTAGGCCTTGCAGGATGCCAGGTAGGTTCGCCAGGACCAACAGAGCCAGGTGGTCCGAGCACTTTAATGCAACGGGAGCTACAAAAAACTTCTGCTTCCCAGTTTTGCAGTGCATCATAAGAAGCCAAGACACCCCGTGCAGGTTCACGGGGACATTGCGACACACAGAAATCATCTGTGACTCACTCAGTGCACCCTGAGAGAGACATCGGGTTTCACACCGTGCCAGGACAACGTGTGGCTAAGTTTGATGTCTTCCCTTGCTCCAGCATTTGTCAGACCACACGTCATTCATAAATAACCCTGGAAAAACAGCGCCCAGAGCCAGAGAAGCCGTGTCAGTCTGGTGGTCCTTTGACAAGCCTTCCAGATATTTGTGCTCCCGAAAGCAAAGATGATGCCCGTTCCTGCAGGACTCTGAAAAGGTTTAAATCTAGAAAAGTGTTGGGCTCTTCTGTGTGCATCATCTACCTCCTTCACATCAGATTCACTCGAGCCACCCATGACAGACATCTATCTGCTTTCTGTCGTGCTTCCCAGTGCTCCCAGCAGGCCTGTCTGTTTCTGCAAAGGGGATACCAAGGAGCAGATGGGTCACTCTCTCAGCAAGAAATTAAAATTAAACCCAGTGGCGTTGTGTTAACAGTGGTCCCCAGAGCTTACCGGGGCTCTCTACAACACAATATTAGAGGAAGGGCCCATGTGTGTCCCGTGCTCACTATTTCCACACCTCCCCAGTCGACTGCCAACCTGTCTGTCCAAATAAAAGGAGTTAAAGCCAGCCTGATCCCAGAGGCCATCAGTCCCTTCAAGCAAATCTTGTAGGTCTGGAAAGCCTTGGCTTGAGAGACTGGGAGCCAGGCCCGACAGCCAACAAACGAGATTTTTCTCCACTTCCCCCTTCAAACAGCGGGGGGATGTTGCAGCAGCGTAGTGAGACTTGCTGTGCCTCCACACAAACACAGGAAGGGGATTCACTCGTCCCTGCTGAAAGAGTTTTCAGAAATTGAGCACCGCTTACAGTGCAAGGTGCCAACAGAAGGAGAAAGGGCCTTCGGGAATAGACGTCTGCGTGGTGAAAAGAAGCAAAGAAAGCCATCCCGCGCCTGGCACAGCCTGCCTGGGCTGCTGGCCTCACTGCAAGGGCTCCCTGCAGGCTGAGATCACCACCCATGGCTGCAATGAAATGCTCATCCAGCCCTTGCCGGAGCATCTGCTCTTACTCTAGCTGAAAATAACCACATGGGCATGGCTCTCCCTGGGGGAGGAAGGAGAAGATGGCTCTTGGTGGGTTACAGCCACGCTTGATATCCACAGGGCAGACTGTGGGAAGCGTGCTTTGCAGTATGCTTTGTGCATAGCAACATGCAACATCCAGAAAAATGTTTGAGAAGGGCTATAAGAACTTGGTCATACACCAGCCACAGCAGCGAGCCCGCTGTGTTGTTACCTGGGGTCTTCAGTTCGCAGCCTGGAATTAACGGTGGTGATTCTCCTCAATTTTGTCCTATTTTAAGAGGTGACGGAATGGAAAGTAAGCGGAACCCGTGAGACGATGCGTAGATAATTACGAGGTGGCCAGAAGTGTAACAGTATTTTCATTCTGCTCATTGAGTTTTTGCCAAGCAATCTAATTAATTTAATGATCCCTGTCCCTGGCTGCTCGCTAATCACCATCACACACTACTTCCTTCATATCTGGCTTGCAAACGGTTACTAATTGTTGCTGCGTCTTGCGTTGTACATCTGGTGATGACAGCTGCCGTGGCCCTGAGATGGAGAGACAGCTGTTTTTAAAAGGAGACTTCCCTCCCAGATCTCTAAAACATCTGGAAAAGTGTGGCGTTGAAACCCAGTTGCTGAATATGAAAACTTATCAGATAGGTGCACGGGCTAAAGGGAAGGGGTCTGCAAACACAAAGCTTAAAAGTGTTTCACTGCAACTGGAGTGGAAGAGACTCACTGCTGTGTCTTTAAAGCACAGGTCCTGGATGTTTGCCATAAAAAATGCCTATTTCCCCTAATTCCCCGTTGACCGCTTGGCATGGCAAAATCTTTTACACTCTGCACAGCAGAGTACACCTCCTAATTTGATCAAACTAACAACTCACATTACTTTTGCTTCAGCGTGTCGGACGTAATTAAAAAACCTTTTTACGAGAAAAGGGTTCGGGATCAGGCAGCAAGATCTAGCTGGCTGCAGACAAGAAACGGGTAGCACGAAAGCACCGAAAAGCCCTAGAAATCCATGGAAACAATTGCAAGCCTTAAAAAATAATATATATAATAATAATAATAACAATAAATCAGAATCTCATTTCCTCCTGAACATTTTGTGACTGTGATTGTTACAAGCAACCTATTTTTTTTTCTCCTCTGTGTTTGTTTAGTGTATTTAACAGCGCCGAGCGTACAGGCCATTGTTTTGCTAGTGGTCAGCAATGCTTATCTCCCGATCTCGCCCAACGCTATCGCTGGCAGGCTGCTCTGCAGTCCTTGGATTAGCACTCATCTTGGACTCTGTGAGAGGCTGCAAATCACCAGCAGCAGCAGCAGCAAAGCTGGGCTCAACAGGCAGCACTGAGCAGGCATGTGAGGACACGGAAAGGAAATGGCTGAGCTCAAACAAGGTTAGCGCGATTGGAGCGGCAGTCGCTCCAAATGAGCCCTGAGAAAGGAGCCTACAAGCAGAAGAAAAAAAAAAAAAAGCTGGTAAGATTAACAACGCCTTCTTATAAAGGAGTCATTTCAGGACAACTGACATAAGGGAAGTGCTACATTTATTTATTTTTAATTGGGCTGGATTCAAGCCATATCAAGCTGATGATGCCATGCCGAGTTCACAGGGACCTTCTCATTGCCTCATGGTACAGGTGCAAGGGGACAATGCACTTAACGGGAGATATGGCACTTTTAAAAGCAAAAGAAGGAAATGTTTTTAAATTAAGATGTTGTTGTGCATGTTGGGATTTTTTTTTCTAGTCACTGGAAGTTGAGAGATGCCTCCAGGAGATGATTCAAGTTCTGAAGTGGGGTTGCCCTGGAACTTCACCTGGAGGATCTTCTCTTTTCTCCACTTGTATGGAAGGACCCTAAAAACACCCATCTTGTAAGGGGGCTCTGGGGTAAGAAGCCTCCCATGAGATGACAGGAAGATAGCTATTTTTCTAACAAGGCTTTGAAATCACTGGTGCAAGATACCACCAACACAGAAAAGCTGGTAGAATCTGGGCAACTGCCTGGGTAATACTGACCTCTGAAGGAGGTAATGCTAAAACCTTGTTGTTGCTGCTGTTGTTGTTGTTTTTGTTTTGAGAGACGATGTGAAATCTGCTGTTTGAATGCAACTTTATAGAGATGGATAAATGCCCACCTTCCAGTATGGAAAGGTTTTCAAAAGACTCTGAAACACCTTGCCCTGACCATGATCAGGAACAAGATATTGGACTACAAACCAGGGCCTGAGCTATTTGATGTTCGAGGAATCCCTTCTCCAAGATCATGACTGATTCATGTTGACAAGAAGGAAATCAAGCAAGGGTGGCAGGAGGCCTGTGTGGACAAAGAAGGAGCCCCTGACTAAATTCTGACATAAAAGGGAGTTGTCCAAAAGGTGGAAGCAAGTGAAGGTGACCCAGGAAGGAGTCTTTACCGGTAACACTGTTCTTTAGCAATCCCAGGCCTCTGAGATTGGGCCCCACAAGTGCAGAGTGAGCTGGCTAAGTGCAAGGCCACTCTTTGAAAGATCATGGTGATCAGGAGACGTTCCTGAGGCTTGGAGGCAAGAAAATGTCACTCGTATCTTCAGGAAGGGCAAGAAGGAGGATCTGGGGAACTACAGGCCGTTCATGAAAAGGTGATGGAGCACCAAATCGTGGAAGCCTTTTCCAGTCATGTGAAGAGCAGAAGGTGATTGGAAGTAATCATCATGGAGCTACAAAGGCAAAATCAGGCTTAATCCACCTGAGAGCCTTCTACAAGGAGATGACTGGCTTGGTGGATCGTTGGAGAATGGTGCATGTCATCTACCTCAGGTTTAATAAGCCTTTTTACACTGCCTCCTGTAACACCTCTATAGACAAGCCGATGAAGTATAATCTATATATCAGTAATATAGGTTAGTGGACAGCGAGGTGGATCAAAAACTGGCTGAATGTCCAGCTCCAGAGCATCGTGATAAGTGGCACAAAGTCCAGCTGGAGGCCAGTCATTAGTGGCATATCGTGGGGGTCAGTATTAGTTCTTTTACTGTTTAACATCTTCAGTAATGATCTGAATGATGGGGCAGAGTACACCTTTGGCAGGTTTGTACATTATACAAAGCTGTGAGGAGTGGCGAATACACCAGAGGTACGTGCTGCTATTCAGAGGGAGCTCAACAGGCTGGGGAGCTGGGCAGAGGGGAATCTCGTGAAGTTCAACAAAGGGAAACTCACAGTCCTGCACCTGAGGAGGAGCAGTCCCATGCACCAGTACATGCTGGGTACCAACAGTCTGGAAGACTCTCTCTAGTGAGGAAAGACTGAGAGAGCTGGGACTGCTCAGCCTGGAGAAAAAAAGGCTCAGGAAGGATCTTATCTATGTGCATAAGTATCTGGTGGGAGGGAATGAAGAAGAGGAAGCAAAGCCAGGCTCTTCTTACTGGTGCCCGCTGACAGGACAAGAAGCAGTGGGTACAAATTAAAACACATGAAACTCCACCTGAACACAAGAAAATGCTCTTTTTACTGTGAGGGTGGTCAAAGACAGGAGCAAGTTGGCCAGAGAGGCTGTGGGGGTCTCCATCCCTGGAAATATTCAAAACCCACCCGGTCATGGTCCTGGACACCCTACTCTAGCTGGCACTGCTTGAGCAAAGGTGGGCCAGGTGATCTCCAGAGGCCCCTTCCAGCCTCAGTGATCCTGTGATCCCCTACAGTGGTTCCTGGAGCACTACATGCTGTCAGTTCTTACAAATTGTGTTAAACCTGATTTTTCCTTGAGGTAATTCCAGGCATTGTTAATATAATTAATTGTACAAGGTGCATGTGCCTCTGAGGACGAGGTAGCTATGGAGAAACATGTACTTAATGAAAGAGTCAGAGGAACTGTACTTGAACAAAACGCAAGAATTGGGGATCATCACTCACGACCAAGGCTTGGTACATGTGCTTTCAGCAGAATAAGCAAAAGTGTGGGCAGATGGAGGCTGACAGAGCACACAGGGCAAGGTCAGACGAGAAGTGGGAGATGAGTGACTTATGACAGCCAGTGCTGAGCACCGCACATAAGAATTTCAGTTGGATTTCCCAGTCCCTGACAAGCAGTGCAATGTGAGCTGGGCTGTGTGTATGATGGAGGTGGTAACATTAAAGCACCAGCACTGAACCAAGACAGGGCGCCAAGCAGCGGCAATTAAATCGGAGGCAATATTTTCAAGCCGAGCACCCAGAAAAGAGAGAAAGCACAATTAATGACTGCCTGGGAGAGCTCTGACTTAAATGACCACCCAGGAACTCTGAAGCAGAGGCAGTTCTCCAGGGCAGCAGTCAGCAAGCTGAGCCAGAAGCCTGTCCTTTCTCCAGCTGTGTTCCCAGTCTCCTCCACAGCACAGTCCTGGCTTATTTAATGCACTGAGCCAGGATCCCATTAAGAAAACGTATGTGATCATGCCATTAACATCTGTCTCGCAAGAGAAGATTAGAGAAACATTTGTCAAAAATGGTCTAGGAATAATTGGTCCTGCCTTGGGGCAAAGAGATGGGCTGGAATACCCAGATGGCTCCTTAAGGTCCCTTCTAGGGCTGTTTTCCAAAAAAATCATACGTGCCATAGAAAACTAAATTAAGTTTTCATAAATTGTTTTAACTCCAGACTTCCCTAAATCCTGAATTCTTGATTTTAGAGACTTTTTGGCACAGATTACAGCGTGCTCTTTTTTAGGATCACGGTTGATTGGTTTGAAAACAAACTCAACCTAGCAAGGATGCCACGATACGGACATCCACAGGCTCAAAAGCTCATAAGTTAGACCCACCACTGGGACCCCTTGCAGGGACTGGCAGAGGCAGCCTTGGTCACTGTGCCCTCTCCAGCTGATCGAGGTGAGGGTGGCTGTAGGAAGAGGTCGCTGTGCTGCTGGCCGGTCTTGGGGGCTCACTCATCAAAGCCACGTGCTGGCAGCTGATGAGATGAGAGACTCAAGATGACTGTGTTTCCTACCAAACTCTGCTGAGCAACATATGCCAGCAGGAGCTTTTTATCTTTTTCTGTCCATGTTATCTCCTATCCTATTTTTCCCACACACTGCTCCCTACCTTATTTTTTTGCCCAACAGCTGCTCCTAGCCCCTGAAACCTTGGTGGTTTAATCCCACGCTCCATTCTCACTCAGAAAATGAAGCTCCCCATCCTTCCTCCTCCACCCTAGTCACACCATCTCTCCCTCCTCCCCCAGATATTCCAGCTCCAGTCACAACAAGTTCTTCAAATGGATTTACCCGTTTCCTGCCGTGACTGGCTTTCACATCCACTTCTTCTGCCTTGTTGCTTCAGCACCAGCATGGTGATCACCACACAGCTGAGAGAAACACCACTTTACTCCCAGCCCAGTGCCCCCATCCCATGGCAGTGACCACAACGACTTGCAGGTGGAGCGTGCTCAGCCTCCACCTGGAGAAAGCCCAGCAGCTGCACGGAGATGGAGCTGACATTTGGTCAGAGTGGGCTTTCAAGGGATGGTCTGGAGATGGCTTTTTTTGTCTGGAAAACACTGAGGCCCATAAAATTGTCAAGAGCCATAAAAGCTGGATTTCCAGTTTTTGTGGTGTGAGGGAGATGAAGTGTCCTGGCCAAAATAAAATAAAATAAAATAAAATAAGATAAAAAATATAGTAGATGTGCTCAAAATTAGGAAAAATGCATCCTTGTTAGACTTGGTCTTGGGAATATCCTGAATCACGTTCACTTTAGCTCTTCCAGAACATTCTGCATGAAAAAAATTTGGTATAACGTTTAGATTTTAAGAAAATGATAAGCAAGTGAATCCAAGGTATTTTTACAGAGAATGCAGCCTTAGTATTCATAGGGATACTAAGATGATGCAATAATAAAGTATTTCACCTCCTTTCACTTTTGTTTTTCTCCTTTCCCTTCTCACCAATTATCAAAAATCTGCTAATTGCTTCATACTCCGAGCCTCTAACATTTCACTCTTCAGTGGAGACCTTTTTGCTGCAGGACAAAGTCCTCATTATCTGGAACATTTCCTAAATTAATTGATTCCACTGGTTACTGCAGAGTCATAAAAACAGTGGTATTAAACTGGGGACAAAAGTCACAGGCAGAGGGAAAGTAGCACTACGCTTGAGCAGCTAAAGCGGTCTGAGCACCGTCCTTCCCAGCGCAGTGTCACGGACTCCTATTAAACAGATCGCTTTGTTTTGCAAAGATGATATTCAGGCTTATTAAATAAATTGATGTTATCCCGGGCTTGGGCACGCTTGCCAAATTGCTGAGAAATGCCACCAGATTTATCTTACAGGTGGAAGTCCCTGTGCCCTATCCAACAGAAATGGCCTTCAGGAAGACAGCTATTGCTGCCTACACGACATGAGCCAATCCATGTCTTATATCTGTTTTGGTCAGCCCAGCATTTCCTTTAAACTCTACAGGTAGATTGCAAACTTGCAAAAAAACAATGAGACAGTGGAAATTTCGCTGTAATGAAAGCATGTCTCTCAATACTTGCAGACACGTTGCAGCAGAACAAAGCTGTGACCTGTTCTTTCATCTGCCACCCTAAGGGCAGGAAGATCTTTAAAAGTCAATGCCTCATTTCTGACTGTGCATTAGAGCAGCCTGGACTGGTCACAGAGGGAAATTATTTTCTAACATCCTGCTAAGAGACATAAAACTCAGTTGCTCAGCTTTCAGCCGCACGGAGCTTGGCACCAATCTGGAAACGCAGTGAACAATTTTTGAAACAATATCGTTCCTTAGATTTCCAGCTGCACTGAAGGTAGGTGGTCAGCGCAAAACCTACCTTATCTCCTGCTGCTTCTTCAAGGTTGATGGCTGTCTGGGCCAGGAGGAGGACAGCCCAATTCTGCTAAGTAAATTGGCCCCTGCTGTGTCCAGCATCGAGGCATCGTCCCTCCTTGTAGGACGGTGCCCCCAGGCAGCCCAGGTTCTGATTGCATAGCACTCATTTTTCCCAGGGGAAAGCTGCAAAAGGATTTTTTTTTTTTTTTTTTTAAGCACTTTAACAGATTTATCTCACTTGCTTTTGGTGTTGTTTCTAATGCTGTCATTATCTAGAATTTCCACGTAGTGGTAGAAATCTTAGGCTTGCTTCAGCAGATGCTTGAATTTCGGATGGGGAGATGAATTCTTGGCTCTTCCTAATCTGTGATTGTCAAACTCCAATTAATTCCCGGTGTTGGGGGTGATTCCGAGAAATTGGTATGTTTCCTCTTTGTGTAAGGACACAAATATATGCAAGAGCAGGCACAGAAACATGACTTGATTCACTAAAACCAGCTGTTTGAAAAAAAAATCATCCAAATACAGCAAATACTTGGTTACTCAACATCAGTCTCCACTGCCGTCCCTGGCCGCTTACTCATGTTTTCCAGAGGATGTCTGGGATTTGCACTGAGGTCCAAGCCTTGCTGGCTGAGAAAGGCACCAGGGCTGGGAGCATCAGCTCTCATTTTCCTGTTCCTTGATGGATTGAGCCACCTCCCTCCTCATGAAGCACTCAAAGACTTTTATTTTTTGCAAATATATATTAAAAAAAAATGAATATATCTCAGGGAGGTGGCCTTGCATTCACTTGAATGACAGGTGAGTGAGTGGGAGAGAAGAGAGGCTGGGACTTTTCTCTCTGAGGTTAACACAGCAGCCAGTTGAACAGGTGAGGCTCTTGACTCCCAAGGGAAATTAGACCCCACGCCGTCCTCAGGTACTCCTTGTTGTTGCTGGGTTTGTCAGCTTTAAAGGCAGAAATTTGGATGCTCTCAAGCAGCTGTTCCTGGAGGCAGCGGGGGCTGAGAGGTTCTGCATCACAAGGTGGATTTCAGCCCAAAAGGTTTTGCACAGGGGTATTAGGAGATGTTAGGAGAACGAGGGAAAAGACCACTCCATCAGGGAGCGGCAAAAAATGGGTTACAGGAGCATGGGAGCACTGCGTGTGTTTTTCTTACCACTATGAATAATGCTGTAATAGTGAGAAAATGAGCTGATACCCGCAAAAGAATAACCCGCCATCAAGTGAAAGATTCACCTGTCGGAGGAAAAGCCTTTATCCAGCACCTGTATTTGGGAACTGTTTGTAGCAACACAGCTGCTTTCAAACAAGGACTTGAATTTGCTGTAACCGTGCACAGGGTATCCCACTGCTCACGGCCCTGCCCAGCAGCGCTGTAAATTCAAGGTGTGGTTGCATCAGCTAATGCTGATCCTGCCGTCCTCTTGGGTGTGAAATATTGCCCTGCTCATTTGGGCTAGATACGAGGTGTAATTGCCTGGAAACCAGCACACACCTCCGGGAGGGTGCCCTGCTGCTTGCATTCACCTCCCTCAACAAAATGTGTGTGGCATTGAATCACGTCATCGGGGGGCGCTCTGCGTGGTGTGCCTTCATTTTCCCCTCCGGTGGGCACCTTGAGGGATATCGGGGGTTTCCTAGGGAAATGGGGTTCCTGTGGATGTCCTAAGTGATGGGATGCTCTGACAAGCAAAGGCTCGTCAGGGTTTCTGCACTGGCCGGGCACGAACAGGCCTTGCCCCGTGAGTGCACTGAAGGACTGCTGCTAAACCCAGCACCCGAGGGGTACTGGAAACCCTTGGCCCATGGGCAGGCTTTCAGAGAAAGCATCCAGCTCCTGCTAACTCCCAGGATAGCTGCCTTTCCGATGTCCTAACCACCAATGAATTTCTACTCGTCTGCTTTTCGAGGCCGTGGTCCTGTTGTAGCACTTCACAAGCGCTTTCAAGTAGGCCTCGGAGGTCTTTCGTCCTCTTGGGAAGGAAGGGCCATGCTCTCCATCAGCACAAAAAAAGGTTCAAGAAGGAAGAACAGCTCCTGACAAGAAGACAGCACTGGCATGAGAACAAGTAGATAAAAATAGGCCATGGAAAGATGTGGGCTGGAAATCACAAATAAGTTTCCTCCCCGTCAGAATGAGGTTCTGGAATAACCTGCCAAGAAAACTCCGAGTGGCTCCCAGGATGGACTGTGATAAATTAACAAGGGGAACTTCATGACTCACTGCCTGTCATAGCCAGGGAATACGGCGATGACTAGGAGATCCCTCCTAGCCCCGCATTCCTGCCGATATGATAACAGGAGGCCATGTACGGGGCGGTAAATGCTGAATCACTGGGCACTTTTTATAGCTGGGTGCAAAGTACCTTGCAACCGTTCCGGCTGCAAGAACCTCCAGGAAAAAAAAATAAATAAAACAAAAAATTAAAAAAAAAAAAATATATATATATAAATAAATAAAACAAAATAAAATAATAAGATAATTAATAAAATAATTAATAATAAAATAAAACAAAGTAAAATAAAATAAAATAAAATAAAATAAAATAAAATATAGAATCAAATCCTTATATAAAGGATAGCACCCTGGCAGCACAAAGCATGAAGCTGCAGATAGCTGAGACAGAAGAAAACCAGCTCAGCTACAGAGAGGGGAGAGGTGGTAGTGTGGGCACGAAAGCAAGAGCCCTCACCTAGAGGTGCGTGCTTGGAGGTGAGCGTGCTCCAGAGGCTTTGATCTGCGACTTTAATTCAGGAAAGACACTTAACTTGGAGCTGTGTTTGCACGCCCCATGCACTCACTCTGCCATGTGTGTGGGGAGATTGTTTCCCCAGTTGCACGGTCATAAAATACAGCAGGAAGTTATTTCACATCTACTGCTAAAACAGCCACATTCCTCCTACCTTCTCAGGACCTGTAGGGTTCTTTTATGGCTTTTTTTTTCCTGTCCTCCAAGGATGAGACCAACACAAGGCTGTGACCAGGGTGCAGCTTGCACTGATGAGTTTGATGCCTCACAGCTGGGCACCTACAGCTTTGCTGTCCCAGCTTTAGGTGCAGACTTTGGGGTAACAGCAGCACCTGGAGGAGGACATAGAGGTAGAGGCCAAGGAGGAGGCACAGATGAAGAACTGGATAAGGCAAGAGACTGGCCAGGTATCTGGGCTCAGGAGAGCACCGTTGCTCAGGAGGAGAGCGGTTCACTGCAGCCCTCGTGGCTGTTGGACCCATATTGATGTGGGCGCTCTCTCACCTCCCCAAAACCTGCAACCCTCGTCATCTAGAGACCCAGAGCCACCGACTGCTGCTCCCCACGCTGCCACGTCCCACAGCTAGGTATGCACGGCATCAGCCCTCTGTGTGTCCATGGAAAGTATGTGTGTCCCCACGGCGTGTGGCTGGCCTTTGTGGCTGCTCGTGACCAGACAGAGGAAAGAAATTGCCCCCAAATTCCAGTGAAGGGTTTCCAAACACACCACTGGTTCAAAGTCCCCCAGAGGATTTTTTCTGCATTCGCCAGTAGATTTCAAGTTAATTTTTATATCAGCTGCTTCCAGATGGCTCAGCGTTTGATCGTTCCCCATGACCATGCTGCCATCTCTTGCCCCATCCCACCTGGCAGGCATCAAACCCAGGACACCAAACCCCGCTGCTTCGCCTCCTCCTCTGCAGGGGTGAGCAGGAACGGGTGGCAGCCCCAGCCCTTTGCCCACCACCTGCCCGCTGTGGTCAGCATCCATCCAGCCCAACAGCTGGTGAAAGGGATACCTCTGCCCCCCAGGACACGGGATTTGGGAATTGGGATCACACTTTGGGGAGTTTCCGTATCGGGAATGATGAGGGGCTGTGGGGATATTTTTCTCCTTAAGGTGATGGGGTTTGGTGGTTTGCCCTAGGAATGCAGGATTCAGCAAATCCGGGGAAGAAGTGCTGGGGAAGAAAAGGCGGTGCTGGTGAGGGGATACAGCAGCGAGATATTTGACCTTCATAAAGGATAATGAGAGGGATCTGCATCATCCATATCGGGGTTGGGGGTGCCTCCGTTACCATCCCTTTCAGCAAAGGCATCCTGCCTGCAAAGGGGTCTCCGCGGGCTGGGCTTCAGGTTTCAGAGCCCCTCGCTTCTCCTGTGAAGGCAGCCAGGTGCTGAAAGGCCTCCACAAACATCCCAAAAATAGTGGGCACACCGCGTTTGCTGCTTTTGATATTTCTCAGACAAAATAATAATAATAATAATAATAAAATTAAACAGATCATATTAATTTAAACAAACCTAAAACATTCCAGGCTACTTCATCCACCACAAAGGCATACGGAAGGGCACACAAGCTGCAGGAGAAAAAAAAAAAAAAGAAAAAAAAAAAGAAAGAAAGAGAGAAACCTTTTCAGATCCTCTTTAAGACTGCTTGCTTGTCCTTTCCTTCAGCGCCAACCTGAGTCTAACCTACGACCGTGCAGCCGAGCTGCACAAAAGGCAAGGCCACCTGCAGAGATGTCACCTTTGGACCCCGTGCTCATGCTCAGGCACTGCCAAGCCTCTCCAGAGTCTCCAATTTGCCCTCAGCTGTGAGGCTGTGGCTTGGCCACGGCTGTGAGTGCTGCTGTCTCCATCCCAGGGGGATGCATTTCTTTTGCATCACCGTGTTTTTATTCACAGAGCATGCTTCAGGAGGAAGGGGGCACTCGCCTTTGGGGCGGGGGTGCTTGTGGTCACACAAAGGTGGGTTTCAGATCTTCTTTGAAGTTCACAACGGGCTGAGCCCTGCCCTGGGGCTCCAGCCAGCGTCCTGCGGCCCCGCCAGGCTCCGTGTCCGTGTCCGTGTCCGTGCTGCTGCTGCTCAGGGAGCCGCGGGGGCTGTGCAGGCAGGCCTGGCAGCAGGGCCGGTGGCAGCAGGGAAACATCTCCTCGGAGCTGCTGCTGGAGTCCGAGTCTGGGTAATGGTACAGCGAGTGCAGGGCGGGACGAGCCGGCACCCCGGGGGCACCCCGCTGATGCCAGTCCCGCGGGGAAGCGTGGTGGTGACTCTCTGAGCCCGTGCCCCTCGCCTCCCAGCCCTGGGGCTCCGGCCATCCCTCGGTGGGGATGGATGGAGAGGACAATGCTGGGTGATGGAGCCCTCTGCCAGCTCCTTCACCTTCCCTCCCTGCTGGCTCCCCGCAGCCCCACGTTCCCAGCCTGCCCACCGAGGACGGGGACACGGGGAAGCCGGCAGAGGCAGGGGGCAGCGGGACGTGCCGCCTCCGCCTCGTCAGGTAGGGGCTGAGGGGATTGCGGGCGGCTGGGTACCCCTCCTGCACCCCCCACATCCCCGCCCCACGTTTAGGGAAGGCCGGGCTGCAGGTCCTGCCGTCCAGGCTCAGATCTTGCAAGATTTCCTGCAGCTTCTCGCTGCTCACGTAGCTGACCTTGGGGGGATGCTCTCTGGACGCAGCAGCTGCGATGTCCTGGCCAGGCTCCAGAGGATGCCCCTTCCCCGCAAGCACCCCATGTTCCTGGGCATCTTTAGGGCTGCGTTCGGGGTCATCCCCCGTGCCAAAAAGCAGCACCGGAGAGCAATCGGGCTCCTCCGGCAGCATGTGCTCGTGGCTCATGCGTTTCCAGAGATCCTGAGCATCGCCACTACAAGGCACCAGACTGCGTGGCGATGCATGCAGCAACTGAGGAGGCTGCTGCCCATCCTGCTCCGGATCCGGGGGGCAGCGGTCCCCAGGCACATCCCCAGGGGCCGCAGCACAGCCACGCCGCTCGCCGTGCCACCCCGTGCTCCGGGTGCAAGGAGCCAGCACCGCGGGGTCGCAGCCGCCCTCCGCAGACATCAGCCTCATCAGCTTCTCCTTGGCGTTGTTCACTTGCTCCTGCAGGCTCTCGATCACGGCGTTTTTCTGCATCGAACACACAAACGTGTCAAGGGCAGGGAGGTAAAAGCTGAGGATTTGGAAGGGGATGGGGCAAAAACGAGTCGCCCTTCATGCAGGGAGGAGCTCTGAGACAGCCTGCAAGAGCCAGCTGGGGGCACCCCCTCTAAATTCACCTTATATTTGAGCAGGCTGTGGAAACCAGGCTTTTCTGCTCTCCTCCTTCCACTTTATATATATATAAATATTATTATTATTATTTTAAAATCAGGCCCTCTGGTTTATGCCCAAATTTTGGCACTTCAGGACGAGGATGCAGAATGACAGCGGGACAAAACCAACCAGCTCCTCCTCTCCGGATGGGGAACAGGGGTGTAGCAAAGGGCTGCCCACCCCACCCAGCCTCGGCACACAAAGGGCAGGGGGTGAAGAAGCCACCGAGACCCCATGGCCACGGCATCGGGGCCGGCAGAGCCCCCTACCTCCGTCAGCAGCCGCTTCATGGAGTTTTTCTCCCCTATCAGCTGGTAGAGCTGCTCCTCGCTGTACACCGAGTGGCAGCTCCTGCTCGGGCTGGTGAAATATTTTGCCATGTGGCTGAGGGTTTGGCTTTCTTCTTCAAAGGCCTTCCACTGCCTGAGCTGCGGGGCACAAGGAGCTGTTACCGGCGCGGTGCCTGCGGAGGGAGGCAGCCGCCGCTCGGGGAGAAGGAGACAAAGGGACGGGAGAGACAAAGGCGGGGTGTGATGGAGGAGCGCAGGGACAGGCAGCCAGGGAGGTGGCGAAGCAGTGCTCGGAGCATCCCACATGTCTGGACCCTGCCCGGTCCCTGGCTTGGCTTTTAACACGGAGAGAGCTGTGCTGCAAGCTCCAAGCGTGCTGCACGAGCCCCCTCCCCTTCTTCCCCTGACTCTGTAACAAAGGGAGCATCACGCACGCTGCCATGTCCCCGAATCCTCGGTGACAAGGCGCAAGCCAGCAGCACTTAATATCTGTTTCCTCGTCTCTCGCCTTGCACAGCCCGGCTCCCGCTGCTCATCGATCTCAGAAGAGCAATAGGAGAGCAAGCCCATTAGGAAAAACGAGCCGGTGAATTAAAAGATCCGAGTTAAATAAAATGCTCAGAGCCCCCAGGCTCCACGGAGGCAGAAGGCACGATGGGGCTGGTGCTCGGCTCAGAGATCACCAGCGGGCTTGGTGCTCGCCCCAGGAGGGCTCCCAGGAGCTGCTAACCCACGGGGTTGGGACTTTGTGGTTGCACCAAAGGATTGCCAAGGTGGGCAGGGACACCTCTGGGGATCACCTTGTCCCCCCTGCTCAGACAGGACTGCAGTGCAGCTGGGCTGTGAGCATCTCTCCACAAGGAGACACCGTAGCCTCTCTGGGAAACCCAGGCCATTGTCTGGCCACCTTCACAGCAAGAAAACAAAGCAAAACCAAACAAAAACAACCTTTTTTTTCTGGTGTTTAAACTGAATTTCCTGTGTTTCAGGCTGTGTCCATTGTCTCCTGTCCCATCACTAGACACTGCTGAGAAGAGCCTGGCTCCCCCTTCCTCCTCCTCCCCACCAGGTATTTGTGCACGGGGGTGAGATCCCCCGAGCCCTCTCTTGCCCGGACCTGCTCTTTCCTCTGTTTCACCTCTTCCTCCTTTCCTCACCTCATTTCCTCGAGCCCTAACGTTCCTCCAAACATAAATCTGGGTAAACAACTGCTTCCTCTCGCTGTGACAATGGGAGCATTTGTCTCGCCAGCGTCACGGTCAGATGCACCGGGCTCCTCCTGGAGGACGTGGGAAGCAGAAGAGCCGAGCTGGGTCATAAAAGGCTTCCTTAAAGCACCGCCGAGCTTCCTCCTCTGCGAGTGCACGTGGGGCACGAGGTGAGGACACGGGGGACCTGCCGAGGGCTGTGGGCAGGGAAACTCAGCCCTCGGAGACTCAAGGGATTTGCTTGGGGAAGCGGAGCCACCGGGTTTTGGAGGATGAGCCCGAACATTTGGGGAAAGCAGCAGGAAACACAAGTGTCAAACCCCCCCCAAAAAAAGTGCCCATGTTTCCAGGGCGGTCTGTGGGCAGAGCCGTACCTGCGGGACGAAGATGAAGCAGTTGATCGTAGTCGTGCACACGAAGATGCCGCCGGAGGTGAAGCCAAAGAGCAAGTTGTGCCAAGTGCGGAAGAAACGGTGCAGCAAGAAGACGGCGCCGGCCACCAGGAAGATGAGGTTGACCCCCACCACGAGCGTCAGGGACTGGTTGACCGGCGGGGAGCTGACGTTGTCGGTCAGGCCGGCCAGGTAGGTCCCGTAGAGCAGCAGGACGCTCTGCAAGCAGAAGACGAGGCCTGCCTTCAGCAGGGAGATCGGCGGAGCGGAGATGTAATTACAGCCTGGCGCTCGGTGCCGTCCTAATGAACGCCCTTTGATCTCTCCTGGTGTGGCGGGCGCTCCGTGGCGAGAGCCCTGCGGGCCGGGGGGTGCTTCGTCAGCAGCAGTGGGGCAGGAGGGCAGGGCTGGTGGCACTGGCAGGACATGCCACAGGGCAGGGCACGGCCAGGAGAGGCAGGGAGAGGAGAGAAAGCTTCCTCTGTGATGGAGCAGGAAGGGCAAAGACGGAGGGGAAGGGAAAACCCCCGTGGGGATGCAGCAGTAGGGGGACACTGCAACAACACCCCTCTAGCGGGGCAGAGAGGAGGCTCAGAAGGGCATTCAGAAGGAAAAAGCAAGAGAGAAGACGCAGGAGGTTAGGCTGGAGGGAAGAGGATGTCCTTGGTGCCTCTTCAAATAGAAATCCAGGAAACTCCCCGCTTCTATTCTTTTCCCTTCCCCGTTTCCTGCCTGACGCCAGCGGCGGTGGAAGGGGCTGAAGAAGGGCTCTGCGCACAGCTATCCTCTCCCCAGGTCGCACTGGCAGGCAACACCGAGGATTTTTTGGCCTTCTCCATTACCACAGGGCACGGTCTGCTTTCAGGATCCCTTGGAAATGCCACCTAGCAAATTCCCTGCTCATGCAAGGAGCCAGATACTGGGCACACGGCTCCTACATTATCCCTGCGGTACCTAGCAAGTGCAGCTGTCAACCTTTTACCACGAATAAGTATAAAATGGTTATTTGGGCATCAGGCAGTCCTTTATGACCAATGGCACATTCTGTAGACCCTCCTGGACCCGTGTGCAGTGGCTGCTTGCTGACTACTGCTGGGATTATGGGCTGGGGGGACCCTCTGATGGGCAAGGGAGGATCCCGTCCATGGACACTGCCAGAAGCACCATGAGCTCCCACGGGAGAACTGCAAGAGTGAGACCTAGGAACGAGGCTGACACCCAAATCTGCTCCACAGGATCTGCGCTGGATGACCACATTCACCTCCCAACACAGGGCCCAGAGGCAAGCCGAGTCCTCCGCGAGAAAATAACAGCACCAAAGTCCCGTTTAATATTCATATAGTCCACCGGGGACACAGACAAAAAGCACTGCCAGCTGGTAAATTAGGACTTTAAATAAGCACAGGGCTGAGTTTTGTTGTTGTTTTGAATCTTGAGCAGAGGCCTGTACTCCTAATTCAATGGATGACCTTGGCAAGCCGTTTCTGTCCGCTGCTGCGTGCCAGCAAAACCAGGATAATGCACCGAGTGGCTTCACAAAGGGCTGAGCACAGTAATGCCTTGGAAAAGAAGAAGTGCCATGTGCACGCAGAGACAGAGCCTAGCCTCCCATTAGTGCAGATCCTGATTAACTCCAGAGAAACCACTAAAGCAACACCTCGGTGACACCCGGTAGATAGGATCAGGGTCAGGTTCAAGGCAATGCTAATGAGGAGTACCTGTGACTGTGATTGTTTTGTTGTGAGTGAGAGGAACAAAAAGAGGTTGGAGGAGCTGCAGGCAAAAGCATTACTCGCCTAAGCCCTGAAGAGACCTAACACAAACTGCGGACAAAGTCGGGGATGGAGATGTAGCACCGAAAGTGGCTGCCCAGGGAAGGCCTGAAATGCCCAGCACCAGAGGCCTTTTGAGGACAGACTAGACTAATGCCTTTAAAATGAAGTGGAGGGGGGAGAAGGACTTGGCAGTGTCCTGAGGTCTCTTTCTGCCCTTGTTCCTATGGTTCTTGGTAGATGGTCAATGACTATTACATTACGGTGAGTCAGAAAGGAACTGCTTGTGTTGCATGCGGGGACAGAGCCATTTGCAAAGGCAGGCTGTGATCTCACGAGGTTCATCAAAATCAGCTCGCTGAAGCGCTTCCAACCTCTGCCAACCCAGAGACACATGAGACCTCGGATAATTACAGCTATAATTATACCCATATAGTTACATCAGTGTAACTAACTCTTCTGGAATATGAATGGCCACATACAACGTTACGCCAGTGAAAGTGCATTTCAGTGGTGTAATTAAGCTGATAAACATCCTGTGAAGGTAGACACCACGCACTTGTCGTCAGCACCTCCTTGGTTTGGAGTCGGACGACTCAGGGTCTGAGCTGCACAGTGCATCACCGGGGCAGACGCTGAACCGAAGCTTCATGGAAAAAGTGAGCTTTGGAAAAGGTTAAGGCACAAGTTTTAAGGAGGGAGATAGATGAGGCACGGGTGGTTACAGGGCAAGAACTGGAGAGAGAGTACGTGCAGTGGTGTGTGCAGAAGATACAGGGAGAAACTGGCAAGAAAACATCAAGATGGGAAGAAATAGAGTTGGGAGGCTTTCAAGAAGAGCAGGAGCAGCTGGGAACTGCAATGCACGTGTAGCTCGGGAGAGCAGAGAAACTACAAATGCTGCTAAATACTGGGAGGAGGTGAGATACAACGCAAGAATCAATAGAGAGGTTACGTACCTTAAACCCTAAAATGAGAACGAGCCAAAGATCGGAATAAAGAGATGCACAGGACTGCATCCGGCTCACTGAACAGGTCATGCCTTTCTCTGTCGCCTAGGAGGCAATGGGAAGGCAGAAGTGAAGGCTGCTGCCCCTGCCTGGGAGCAGGGACAGACCGATGGGTGACAGGTCTGCAAATCCAAGCAGGTCTCCTCTGTAAACTCCTAAAGGGAAATGCCAAATCTGGTGCTGCTGGTGCAGGCAGTTAAATCGGGAAAGATTTTGGTATTCTGCTTGCAGTGGGGCTGGTTCAGCCTTTTCCTAAAGCATCTGCGGATGCCGTGGTCCTCTCCTGTGCCACCCAGGTGACCTGCACGCACTGGTCAAGACCACCCACTGGACCCCACTGCTTGGCCAGCCACAGCTCTGCAAGCCAGCCATCCCTTTCCAGGTTTGGCTGCATAGACCTGGAAATCTTGCAGCTGATCCTCATCTCTGTAGTAGGCCATAGACATAAAACCAGCCTGGAGAACCCCAAGGGCTTCGTGGCTTTTCTGCCTGTCTTGTTTTTAAACAGCACCTCCAAAAGCCCAACCATCCGCCAGCATCACCCGCAGAGATCTGACAGGGCACAGCGCAGTGCTGCACCACCTCTCCTCGTCCCTTTACCCGCACTGAGATGCTGAGGCTTCGGAAGCACTGGACCGGATCGGAGAAGACCCACGTCAGGAGCAACACGGCGTCTGCCAACACCAACGCTGCCACCATCGCCAGCAGCTGGAGGTCTTTGATGATCTGCAAGCATGCAGGAGGTATTAGTCAGGGGTAAATGGGCACCAGCAACCTCCATCCCCCTTGGTCTTCTTCTAGTTGTCTCTTCCAAGGGATGTTCAACCTAATTCTTTCCCCTGGAGTGGAGTCCAACAGCTACATCTCTGCCTCCAGCTCCCAAACTCCTGGAGACCCAGCCAGGCTTGGGACCAGGTATGAGCCCTCCCTGACTGCATGGCCAGCTGGTAAATGCCATGGCAGGAAACAGCACTTCCAGAAAAAAAAGAGTATCACCCGTTCCTCCCATATCACCAAGAGGGAGGCTGGCTACTCACCACCCGCTTGTCCGGCACCCGCTGGGTGAACACCTTGTAGAGCCGCCAGCTCTTCCCCAGGACAGGGCCCAGCACCAGGGAGGTCCCCACACACAGCAGGCAGAGCCGAACCTGGGGGACGAGGTGGAGATGGAGGCACCGGGGGTAAGGAGGCCAGGAGGTGATGGATCCATTGTCCACAGATGTATTTATTTGTGTGTGCCCCGCTCACCTGGATAAGCGTCTCCACCGAGTCCCTGGACGGCAGGCTCTGCTCCTGAATCCCAAAGAGGTAGGCACTGGTGTAAGTCAAGCCACTGCCCAGCAGGGTCACAACGTTGAGGTTGGGGCTGGACATCTTCACGATCCTCCGGGAGACAAAGCAGGGAAGGTGGTGCTGGTTACTGAGCGCGGCGGCCGGGGCAAGGTCCCTTTGCAGGGATATAGGTGGCCACAGGGGACGGTCCCAGGCCCCCTACTTTAAATAGTGGCCCTTTTGCCATACCCCCACACCCCGAGCGCTGACTCAAGCAGAGGTTACATTAACATTCAGGTCACAGCTTCCCCCCCCCATAACTTTACCCATAACAACTGTGCTCAGGAAGGGGGGAATCATTTTCTTTCGGGGCCCCCGAGCTCCTCCCTGGTTCTTGCTACCTCCAAACCCACACAGAGCCTGGAGACATCATCCACCAGCCTGGCCTCTGCGCTGGCAGCCCCTTCGCACACATCCTTACCTGTTTTTCCTGAAGCGAATCGTGAAGGCCAGAAAGAAGAGGGCCAGCAGGACCCCTCCGGTCAGGAACGTCCACACGACGCCCAGGAGGGCAGCAGAGAAAGACGGGGAGCTCTTCCCGCCGCGGTCAGAAGACGTCTGAGGAAGGCAAAAGGGTTGAGGAGGAAGAGGACATTTCTGGGGACAAAAACACCCCATCCTGCTGCACGAATTAGGGCCACCCCACACCACGCTTGAAAAATCCCACTTCGATCCCAGCTACGTCACTCGGTGAGGCTGATGGAGCGCTTCATCTGCCGCTGAGCAGAGTAAATCCCGGGCCTGGCAGGTGGAATATTAATTGTAGCAAAGCTGCCAGGGCCCGGGGAGCCGAGCAGCTTATGGTTTCCTAATTAAGCGCCCGTGTTTGTGCAGATCCCGACGGAGACCGGGGCGGCCGAGCCCCGCTGCTCCCTCCAGCAGCCTCACGTGGAGCCAGGCGGGAGCAGGCGCAGCCATCCCCGTGTCGCTCCTGCTGGCCTGGCGCTGGGGGCAGGTGCCGTTCATTACAGCTGATGGCTTTTAATTAAACGCTGCTCTATTAATATTTGAAAAGCCCTTTGAAGCGCCAGGGGTTGGGAAAGGCCAGGGGCAGAGAAGGGCATCCCAGGCCCGCTCCTAAGCAGCTCTGAGGCCACGGAGCGCTGCCGTGGCTGCGCCCTCGCCTCCTGGCTGCCTGCTGGGTGCCAGGCATTTTTTTGGAGGCCACCCAGGAGGGGACAGCACGTGGCCTCTGCCTGCAGGCTTCACCACCATGCCCCCCTGCCCCTCTCCATCCCTCCGCCCAAATCCCCTTCTGCAGAGGAACCCTCACGAGCTCCCCCACCTCCGTACGTACGACTGTGACGGTGCAGAGCTCCCGCAGCGTCCTCTGCTGCTGCTCCTGGCTGCCGAAACCGGGGCTGGCACCGCAGAGGTCGGAGCAGTTGAATCCCGGCTCCATAGCACATCCTCAGCCTTCATCCAGAGCCTGGCCGGGGAGCGCTCACCTCCCCTCCGCCCCCGATTCAGCGTGGGCTGCGGGTCCCCACGCAGCACGGCGGCATCCCGAGACAATTCGGGGCACCCTGTGGACCAACACACATTGGGGTCACGGCAGCCACCGGCTCCCCGCTGCGGAGATAAAGCCGGGCACGTGCCCCTCCTGGCACCCCGGCGCCCCTGCGCTCCCCCTTGCGTGCCCTCGTTGCCTCCGCTCCCCTTGTTGTCCCTCGTTTTGGTGAGGGTTTTCGTGGGCTTCATTACCATTTTAGACATGAGGTCATACTTGTCCTCAAGCATCCCAACCCAATTAGCATTGTCACCGGGTTTAATTAGCTTCCAATACACGGCCATCAGCAAGGCTCCCGCCGCTAGGAGCTGGAGGGGACGTGCGAGAGCTCCCTCCGTGGCTGCTGGTAATGACGGGTGGGGGCAAAATATTTATCTGAGCATCCCCCTGGGGCTGACCCCAGCAGCCCTGTGCATCCCCAAAACGCCAAACCCGTTGGAGAAGCCGCTCCCAAGTCCCAGCCCCAGCACACGGGGGTCAGCACTCATCCAAAATCAGACGTCTCCCCGCGAAGCTGCCCCCTGGGAGCGCTGGCACGCGATGACGCCAACAGCTCCCGCGTAATTTTGATAAAAAAAAAAAAATAATCTGGCCAACGAGGACAATTAGCGCTCATTAGCATGCGATAAAGCGAGCCCTAGCACGGATATTGCCAAAACGCACCAGGCGCTTCCCCTCCAGCTCCTGCCTCTAATTAGGGCTGGCTGAAAGGTCCTGCTGCAGGATGCCTTGGTGACCCCGAGCATGGCCCGGTGGCCACCTCCCCTCCCAGGCACCACGGGGCTGCCGATTCTGACACGTGCTCTGCTCACCCTGCTCCTCCTGCCCCTCGCCCCGTATCCACCAGGCTGATGGATCACAGTCACCAACTTTTGGCCAAGGCCAAGCATCAGCGTGCAGGTGGACGTGACCCGACAAGCCTGCAGTCGGTAGGAAACGAGCGGCTGGATGGCACGCAAAAAAAAAAATGAGCGCCGCCGCCTTCCAGCCTAGAAAGGAAGCAGTGGTTGTGAAAAACATTTGGATGCGGGCAATTTGCATTCGCCTCAGTGTCTTCAGGTCTGGAAGGCTGTTTCTGTAGATCCTCCAGGACCCGAGATTATTCGTCTGCCAGCGCTGAGCAGCCGTGTACTAAGGCACAAACGTCCTGCAAAAAGCACGGTGATGGCTAAATGCGGATCTTGAGTATCTCAAGGTTTCTTCTCGCCTTCGAATCCTTCTTGAAAAAGCAGAGGAAAAAAAATTAAAAAAATTTAAAGAAGCTGAAAAATTGATGCAAAATGCATGAGCCCAAGGCAGGCAGAATGAAGGTTTCACCCCGACCGATTCCTTTTGATCTAGCTTTGAAGGAGAGACTTCTTCCCCCCAAAAATGGGGTGATGTCACAGCTCAGTGAATCGAAAGGTGGAAAACTGAAGAAGTCAATTTGCAGACAAAAGCATAAATCCGTTCAGAAGCGTGCCGTTTTTCGGAAGCCCTGCAATCCTCTTTGGCCATATCAGCCTGGACAGAAACGGTGTGGGCACCGCTCTGCAGCAGGGAGGGATGCTGGAGAAGGACCTTTTTGGGGAAGAGCTGTGTGGGGAGATGTCTGCATCTCCTGATGATGGTGGCCACCTCCTGAGCATCTGCTGCGTGCCGGGGACAGCCCCATCTAGACGTGATGCCAGCCCCACACTTACACCATGGGGTCGTCCAAGAACTATTCCAGCAGGACGAGCGCACGGGATGGGGTTTTGCAATTCAGAAAGCACCGGCTCTTCCGAGAAGCTCCGCGCTGTTCCCTTCTGCTCTTCTTGCCCAACAAGATCCCTTCTCGTTTGACCTGAGAAACCTGCAGCATTGCCAACCCCAAGGCGATCAAAAAAAAAAAAAATCACAAGCTCGACTTACCGCAACGCCCCCCCAACACAGCTATGTAAAAATCGCCAGTTAAAGAGCACAGGGTATCTGAAGCTTATTTTTAATTTATATTTAAAACTTCATCATCTCAGTTTTCACGCTTTCCCCTGCGAACGCTTACAAAGAAAGGCAAGCCAAGAAGCTGGGGCCATCGTGCAGCCTGGGTTACAAACCCTCGGTCCCTGCTGGCTCCTGCATCATTTCTTCTTCCCACCCAGAGCACAGGAGCCACCCAGCACACAGGCAGCTGGCTGGGTGGCTCCGAAACCTGGCATTTAGTCTTTACCGAAGCCAGCTGCAATTTTAAGGCATCCTTCCCCTTTCTGATAGCATCTCCCAAGCTGGCGGAGGCAATTGTTCCCGAGTGCTGATCTTGCTGATCACCCCAGGGCTGTGTGTCTGCCGGACACGGAGCTCTGCCGCCGCTCTTTCTCTCTCCCCCTGGCTTTCCCATGCGCCCATTATCCACCCACGACCATAAAACGGTCCTGAGTGTGCTCACATCCACCTTCCCGATCCGGCAGCACCGCTCGCAGTTGCTGAGGCACAAAGCTTTTTTCAACGGAGGTTAAATACTTGCCCTGCTTTTTTCAGCTCTGCGGTTTCCACCCCAAATTTAAAGAAACCTTTATGCAAAATAAATAAATAAATAAATAAATTAAATTGAATTAAAACTAATATTTTTTTGAAGCTCCACATGGTCCTGCAAGGAGTTGGCTCATCAGCCTCCCACCTCTTATCACTCCTGCCTTAATTTCCGTACAGCGATGGGCACGCGAGAGGCACGGGCGGATGGAGAACGGACAGACTTTCAGACCGGAGATGCTCAGAGGAAGGAAAAACGCCTTTTCCCAGGCCGTTTCCACCATTTCAACACCGCTCTGCCCCCAGCACTGTGCTCCGAGGCACGGCCCAGCCCCGAGCAGCCCCAGCAGCGGCTGCGGGCACCGGCTCCATCAGCTCCCTGCCTCCCAGGCGCTCGCACCGGCCCGGCTGCGATGTGCTCGGGGAGGCACAGCCTGCAATTTCCCCCCTCTTAACTGTACCGGGGAACAAAGGCCGATCATTTCAGGTGCTGATTTACACCAGCGATCCAGCCTGTGGTTGAGGTGCGCAGAGGCTTCATTAAAATAGAGGTTCGCTCCTCGCCGGAGCTGCTCGCCGCTGAGCAGGGGGCGAAGAGGCCGCGGAGGGGATGTTTTCATAAAGTTGGGTTTCAGGTGGAGCCAGGGCCCTCGAGAGCTCTCCGTTTCAGGAGCTGGCAGAGAGGCACGGCTGCTCTGTCGTGCAACCAGACACCGGCCCCTCGCAGCCCCGATACACCTGGGCTGGGACAGCAGCACTGCAAAGGCTCACCACAACCCCGGGGACAGCTGCTCACCCTAAAAAGCCCAACATCACTTCTATTTGTATTTCTTTTTCCTTTCAAACCTTCGGAAACCAGCCGACAGGCCGTGTCCCTGAAAGGGGAGGCAGAACGGTCTCCGGTGACCTGGTTCTGGGTATTTCTCCCCCGGGAGCGAGGCCGCAGCCAAGGCTGTGGGAGCTGGAGGAGCTGCCCCCGGCTCACCCCGCCGCAGGAGATGAAAACCCTGAGTCCCTCGCTCTGCTGGGAGAAGCAGCCACCCCACACAGCTCCATAGGAGGGTTGCCACGAGGCTCACCTTGTCCACAGCACCCCGGCACCGCTGGGTGAGGCGATGCCATGAGGCCGGCACCCGAAGGACACGTAAAAGAGATGCCGGCTGCAACCCAACACTGGCTGTGCCTGGGCGCCAGCCGCTGGTTACCAGGGATCCAGTTTCCCAGCTCTCCTCCGAGCAGCTGTGGGGCACTGGAAAACCCAGCTCTGGGCTCCAGCAGCCCCCAAAAAAAGAGCCCGGACGGGGTGAAACACACCAGCCCTGGTGGGCATCCCACCTGGAGCAAACGGGGCAGGAGCGTGGCATCCCCACAGCCCCTCTGGGCGCAGCCTGTCCTCCCCCTGCCCCTTCCAGCCCTATTAAAGCCCCGCAGCCCCCCCGGGGGCCGGCAGCGCCAGGGCAGGGGCAGAGCAGCGAGGGCTCGGCTTTTCCCCCCCGACCACCCCGAGGAAAGCCCCCGGACCCACCTGAGAGCCCCCGACCCGCTGTCCCGGCACGGCTCAGCCCGGCTCGGCACGGCTCGGGGGCGGGCTGCGGGGAGGGGCTGTGGCTGCCGCGCTCCTCCCGCCCTGCTGGGCTCGGCTCCTCCAAGCCAAAAAGCCAAAAACCAGCCGGGGATGGCGAGCCAAGGGCCAGCAGTAGCCAAGGACCCCCCCTGCGCGCCCCCCGACAGCCCCGCTGCCCGCTCTCAGCATCCCCCCGCCGCCCCTCGCCCTCCTGGCGCGTCCCCCAGCCTCATTCACTCCTCGGCCTCTGCCCGCTCCCTTTTACCACTTTTCTTCCCCGGCTTCTCTCGCCAAAATCTCGGCTCCCCTTGCCAGCACCCAGGTTGCCGTCCCAGTCCGGAGCAGGGTGCCAGGCGCCGCTGGGAATTGCTGCTTGCGGAGAGGCACCGGGCCACGCAGGTTTTCTCTTCTCTCTTCACCTCATTAGCTGCCTCCGCCAGGCCTTGGCACCAGCCGTGCTAATTTCTTCACCCCTGCTGCTTCCCAAAACCGCAGAGGTCTGTACAGGAGCAGGGAGGATTGTAGGGCCTGGCTGTGCCGCTTCGGTGCCGTCCTAAGCGCAGGGACCCATCAATTCCCCAGCCTGCAAGGAGCTGTGTCAGGTCCCCAAAACCCTAATCGTGGCTGCCAGCCCCAGCAGCACCTCCCACCCCCCCAAAAAAGCCCCTTGGAAATCTTCGGTAGACTCAAACTTTCAGCTTAGACGCCATTCAGCCCCAGTGGTCTGAAAGCTGGGGATCCCAACATTGGTTAAATGCTGTGTTATGGCCCCAAAAGTGGCACCCCGATTTGCAGAGCACTCCCAGAGACTCAAAGGAGAGCCCGCAGCCTCCCCGTGCCTCTGGAAATCCGGTCACTTCTCAGGCACGCAGACTGGATTTGCCAACCCGGTCTCCGCCTCCGTCAAACCGGGATGATGAACTGAAACCTCTCACGGAGGGAGGAGAGGGCGAACCTGACTGCTCGCACAGGGACAGGAGGCCAGGGCGTTATTCCTGGTTCCTCTCCTTCCCAACAGGGCGCTCGGCCGGCCGCAGTGACTCACGCTTGATAATAACACTGGAGCCTTCCTCAGTGTCACCAAGGCACAGCACCTCCTTCTGGCAACGTGACCCATCCTGTCTGCTCCGAGGTGTGCCCAGCAACCATTTGATGTTTATTTTAAGATGACAGCTTAAAAAAAGTGGGCCTTGAGCTGATTTTTGTGCAGTGAGACCCCCTACCTACCAGCCACCATCCAGCAGCACCTCCCCGGCAAGTTGCAGAGCTTCGGCCCATTTATCACATTTGGGATTTCCATCCCCAAGAGCTCACACTCAGAGTGCTGCACAGAACGGAATTAAAATCAGCCTGTTTTAACTATGGCTTTTGGTCATCTGCTGAACTCTTCATAAGCTCCCCAATTTTCAGTAAATTTCACCACGTTTCCTTCAGGATGAACCACACTTTGTATTTTCTGCAGTTTGGGGAAAGTCAGCCGCTTTAAAAAGCCAAATTCCTCTCTGACTACCGATGATTGGCCTGATTCTGCTGATGTTGATTGCAATCAGGCAAGTAACCGCTTCTGGTGCAGTGACAAACTCTTCATCCACCACGATGAGATGTGGAAGGTGTGTGCCGGACGGGTACCTCCTCCGCAGGGAAGTTATAATCCGGCACCCTCAGAAGCTCTCAGGAGACTTCGCTGTGGCCTGCAGGCAGTGTCCCAGAATCAAATTCTCTATGCAAACACCGTTTTCTTTTCACACATGGCAAATAAGCCTGTAGAGAGACATCCATCCCGGGCCTCGTTTGACGAGGCAGTCAGTCGTCCTCGCAGGCATGCATGCAGCACTCCCTCCTGGGCTTTGCTAATTAGCGCGCTGATCTACATGCAGTCTGCTCTGAATTACCCGTAGCTCAAGAACAGGTAACGTTGCCATTAACATAAAGCACCACCTTTATCTCTTTCACGCCCTATCTCCTTTCTCAGCGAGCGGCAGCCAGCGATTGTAAGGTCTCAGCTGAAGAAAGCACTTGGCCACGCTTAGCCAACACCAGTTTTGTGCCGTGTATTCTCTTAAGTGAGATTTTTTTTCTTTCACTTTTTCCTCTTACTGCCTCAGTTTCTTATTCTGGAATTTAAATAATCATTTTATTTTCTTTTCATATTCTCAGCCCACTTAGTCCATGTCCCCTTGAGTTTAAATTGTTGAGGTTTTTCCCCATTGGAAGACCCTCTTGATGGGCTTAGTCGAAGACTCTCAGCAAACACCAGCCATGGGTTTCACCTCCAGGAGCTCCTGTCCTCTCCTTCCAGCCCACAGGAACAGCTCCTCGGAGGTGGCTGCTTGGGTGCTCTCCTTCTCTGAGGTTCCTGAGACCTCAAACACTTCCTTGTTATTGCCACACCGTCCTGTTGGGTGTGTGACCTTTCAGAAATCGTCTCCTGACAGAAGCTGCCCACTGTAATTGCATGCCTCGTTAAGGCACCTGGAGACACGTGCGGACCACTCCTGCAAACCCAACCCCAGAGCTGCACTCGGGGCAGCTCCCTGCTGCTTGCTCCATTCCTCCCAGCACATCCTGGAAGATTGTCCGTTCAGCTGGTCAGCCTCTGCCAGGAAAGGTTATGAGAATAAACAGCACAAAACTGCAAGCAGAAGCCATTGCGCTTGCAGAAGTCCAAGGCAGGGCTATCAGCTGCAGCGTGGTTTCCACCATGCCCAGAACTCAAGCTCACTCCCACCGCTGGGAACTGGTTTGCTAGCAACACCCTGTTCACCCTGCCTGTTTCCTATGCAAAATAATCCAGGATTCACCCAACGGGAGGTCAGAAAGGTACAGGAGGCTTGGGTCTTGCAGCCACGGTTTGGCTATGTCCCCACCAGAAATGAGCTGGTACTTGCAGTGGGCAGCCGGAGTGCTTTAGCTGCCCCCATCCCTTCTGCTCCTCCTGCAAAAAGCAGGATGATGAGGGTGTTAAAAACTCTCTGAAGACTTTCTGTACTCTGCCGGTGGCCAGGGATCACCCATCTGCAGATGGGGCAGGGCCTGCCGCAAACGTAGGGCAGCTGGCTGGAAGCTCTATGGGATGTGGGACGGAGGCCTGTTGGTTTCCCACACCCTTTCCTAATTATTATTTTTTTGAGGAAGGCACCAGGAGGAACACACAAGATTAAGAATTAGGTGCCGGGTCAGGTGAAAGAGAGGCAAGGCAGGGTTTCTAAGAAAACAGCAGGCCAACGCCACGCAGCTGCGTAGTGGTGTGGTGGAGGAGGCACCAGCGAGGATCTCCACGTGGATACAGCCCCAGGAACGTGAGGCAAACAATTGCCTCATTTTGACATGAATGTCCATTTTTTGCATGTTAATTTTTGGGCTAACATCCTCCAAAGTTTGGTGGTGCTTCAGCAAAGGACCAGGCGGGATTTGTGTCCCACACGGACACTTCGGAGGACAGAGCTGCTGAGGAATGGGGCCAGGGTTTGCACAAGCCCGGTGCGTGCTGACACAGGATACCGGGAGTTTGGCTAATTTTAGGTAGGCGACCGGTCATGCCAGATGTATCCAATAAACCTGCCCGCTCCTTCCTTTCATGCAGTCTCGGCGTATTATTTTTATTAAAGGTTTAGCATGGCCTGGCACCCAGGGGAAGCGTTCAGCTGCTTTGATGCTAATCTGAACCACCAAAGCTTTCAAGGCTCGCTCCCTGCTGCCAGCAACACCCAAGCCCAGCGGCGATTAGTGGTCTCCTGGGAGGTATCTCAGCCTCCTAGGATGTGACGGGGAAACAAGAAAGTCTCTCGCAGTGGCGCTGCGTCTCAGCTGTGCCCGCCTGCTAAATAACAGGTGGTAAATGATAGTTTCCTTCAATTGTGGCAGCTCATGACTGCTCGTGGAGTCACACAATGATCTCACCTCGGTTATTCACCGTGTTCTTTCTTCTACCTGGCACTGTGAAGGTGTTTTTCTTTCTAACAATAGAGAATAAAAACAAAAACAAAAACAAACCCCTTTCTATTAACGCAGATCTAAACAAGCAGCCAGTGCACCACAGAGGCATCCCGTGTTTCTGGCTCTAGCTGCCACATCTGAAGCGCTTTTGCTTATTAGGTTTTGCTTATTAGGGGCCTTTTCAGGTGGTCCTTTGCCACAGCAGTGGGGCTGGGACACTCCCTGGCTGCTAAAAAGGGATGGCAACACGAGGACTGAATGGGAAAAGGAGCACCATGGGGTCACAGAAATTATGCCTTTGTGTAAGGGGGAACAAGGAGAGAAGAAAGGGCAGGTGGGAGCAATGCTAGGCTAGTAGGGCTGCCTCAGTCTGCTCAATCCATGCCTCAGCTTCCACAGGCCTCAGGGACAAAGGCAGAATGGGTATGAGAAACAGGGCCAGGAAATTACCGCTGCCCACATTTTGAGTGGATACAAATGTCAAAATTTAATAAACTTGGCTTCAGGGAAGGAACCGACGCAGGTGGGAAGGTGAAAAAAGTGGACTGGTATCTCTGAAGGGACTGACACCTGGGGCCACGCGCCTGGGAGCCAGTATTTGTAAGAAATCTGTCAAGTCAGGAGCAGATTGCTATGTCTGAAGAGCAGCAAGTGCAGAGAGGGTGAGCAGCACGGAGAGGGAAAGGCAGCTGAAGGGAGGGTTGCGGTGCAGGTCCTCCACGCCCAGCCTCAGGCCCACGCTTTGCAGTTTATTCCTTTATGGCATCAACACGAGATCTGGGGTGATGACATTATCTGGGGGGGTGGGGAAGACAAACATATCCCGGAGGAAGAAGAGGTTGAACTTCAGGACCTGAGCACCAGCCACTGAACGACGTTAAAGGCTGCGGGCTGTAAGGAGCGTGCTGTAAGCCAGGCCACAGCTCTGCTGCGAGCCCAGAGGTTGTAGCTGAAAGTAGAAGAGAAAGTGGAGCAGGAACCAGAGGAGAGATGACCGTGACACAAAAAGGCAAATGCAACCCTGGCATTTGCAAGTTGCCAATTATCTCTTGTTCTTTGCAAGTGCCAGGACAACAGCAACAACAAAAAATACATGAAGTAAAACTATTGTTTAAAATGTGGCTTTGCTGCAGCTTTCTGTGGGTGCACAACACCCAATTTAACAACTGCTTCAGTACACCTTGACAGCGATGGGCATTGATCTAAATACATCTGCATTTTACACCTAAAATATAAGTCATGTGGCAGATTTTCCACGTCCCTTAAAGTTATTTCAAGCCAGGGCTGCGAGCCTCGAAATTCAAGGATTGCCAGTGCAGGATTGGTATGAGATAAATGCACTGGCCACTTTGTTACTACCAAGAAACTTGAAGCAGCTACAGCAGATTGCTTTACCCAAACTTTAGAAACGGAGATGGGAAAATGTTTTACAATCCACAGCAGCTCTGGCTGCGAGAGGTTGCTGTTATTTAAGAGCATTATAATCACTGACTTCATAGAGCTGCACGCACCGGCCCTGATGTTGTAAACTCCTCAGTCTCTCTGAAGCTTTTGAAAGCCATTCATCGTGGCTTTAAAACTAAAAGAAACACACCCTTTTTTATTTATTTTTTTTTCTCCCTTAAGAAAAGGAGCCTTTGAAAAAGTTCATGAATAGATGTTTACCAATGAAATTTGCATAGAGGAGAAAATTATGACTGGATAAAAGATCACAAAGACATTTGTCAGCTTTTTTTCACCCTGGAGAATTACAAATAAATAAATAAATGTTAATGGAAAAAGCAACGTGACTTTCAGGCTTGAAGATGCTGTTTCTGTAAAGGGAAAGGGGAGAAGAGAAAGTTCTTGCTGACATGGTTGGGCTGCCATGTAAAATGCAAGTCAGGTGGAAACCTCTGTGATCCTCAGGCACATTACTGCAAGGAGAATACCTGGGCAATAGAGGATAATTTTTTTTTCTTTATCACCCTAGACAATAATGCCAGTGTCAACAGTTTCTCATAAAATTCACCAGCTCAGCTCTGCAGTGGTTGGTTAGTCCCAAGGGTGCCCCAGGTTTCTGACAAGTAGGCTTGGGAAAATACACTGCCCTGGCACCTGGAGTGGTAGCAAAAGATGACCTGAACAGCCTTATTTTCAATGTCATGTGAGCCTCCTTGTTGCCAGGCTATTATTCTGGACTTCAGGAATTAATGTGCTGCTTGAACAAAGCCACCACAGATCCATGTCCACCTCCTGTGGTTGCCTTGACCAGGACGACAACTATTACAGTCGTCTGAAGGGCCTCTGGAACACGGGGAAGGTTTTCCATGGGTGACGAACCAGCCATTAGCTTCAAGATTTGCTGGGTCAGGACACCTATGAATCTCCTATCACCTATCACCATCTCCTCACCTCTATCCATAGGCAACACCATGGCATTTAAATAATGCCAGACCAGAGCAGCTATGCCTCATTTTTTGTCACGGCAAAGTGTCATCAGGCTTCACCTTTGTCCCCAGCAGCTGGGCAACCTCTTTCTTCAAGAAATGAGCTTTCGGATGCAATAAAGGCATAATAGCAAAGCCACCTGGCACTTAGTGAGCCTAGGAGGCACCTGGTATAGCCTACATGCCTCTTGTCTGCGGGCACGCTGCTCACAGCCAGGGCTCTGCTTCCACGTCCTCGCTAGCAGTGTGGCCAGCTCCCAGGAGAGGTTGTTTTTGGGACAGCCACACCGCCAGCAGGAATTACAGCAACTGCCCTCAGACATTGCACATTCGTTTTTCCATGCCGAGGGAGGGCAAGCCCAGCTAATCCTCTGCTGTACGAATGGCATTGCACAGGGGGCATTTGCATGCAGCTGGTGCAGGTAAACAAGGAGGAGCCCGGCTTGTCCTTCCCTCTGCCCTCTTCCCTGGGGGAGCTCACCAGCTGCAGCTGGCTGCATGAAACGGGGAGCCCAGGAAGGGGGAATGCACCTCACCCGGGCTTTGCCAGACAGCTATTAACGCAGCCCGAGTTTAGAGCAATAAATCAGAGCAGAAGCAGACTTCAGTTCTCCACACAAACAGGGTGAAATGCCCCCAGCCCTTTATCAGGAGATGAAGGCACTCCTGGATCTGTTCCGCAGCAGATTTTCCCCTTGTGGCCAGCCATAAAGACCTCAGAGCTCAGGGATGAAAACACCCGCTGCTGTTACAAGCCCAGCAGCAGCCGATTGTGGAAGGTTTTCACCTCCTAAGGCCATACCTCTCCCCTCCAAACAAGGCTTGCTTTCCTAGAAGCACGACGAAATGTCTGCGGCGGGATGCTCGACGAGCTGCCCTCAGGACCGGGCAGCGGCACCAGCCCCGGCCAGGCTTTTTGGGCTGCCCTTTCCCTCCAAACCACCACGGAGGGTTATCTTCGGACAGGTTTCTGAAGCCGCACAGCAGCCAGATGGGGTTGGAAGCTGTGAAAACCCAAAATAGTTTCAACCTTTCCTGGACTGTTTCAAAACGTGTTTCAACCGGCCCGGTCACATGGCGTTCTTGCAAGGCCTTTCATGATTGTATCTGGGGGTAGGAGACTCGCTGCTGCTTTAAAGGAAGAAAAAAAAAGAAACAAACAAACAGAAAAGAACACGGTTTAACCCCAGATATCTGAAGGGAACAACCAGGGAACGTGGCTTTGGAAAGCACGCTGCCCTGTTTGTTTGAAGATAAAAAGGCTGAGGCGAGCCGCCCGGCTCTCGCAGGCCGCCCCTCGCTGCCTCTCCCGGCTGTGGTTACGGGGCCTGTCTGAGCGCACGCATGCGATGCACGCTTCAAAATCCTCCAGACAGCCCCTTTCGGCGGCGTTGCACCTAGCAGAAAACAAAGCGCTTTCATCAGCTCGCCGAAGCCTTTGGGTAGGTTTTAGGAGCGGAGGGCTGAGCTGGCAGAGCCCCCACAGGCCCTTCTCGAAGAGCAGGGGAACGTGAGGAGAACCAAAGCAAATGGCAGCCGGCCTTGCCGGGCTTTGCTGCTCTTTGATCCAAGCGTAGTATTTAGGATAAATACACGACTTGTTTGTCAGTACTGACTTCAGGTCCTGCTTTATCCACACAGCCAAAGAAG